TTATAATTGCCCAACTCGTTTAAAATAAGAGGGAGAATGTTGAAGTGATTGAAGTAAATAATTCGCTAAAAATCAAAAAATATATAAATAGGTACATGCTAAAATATATAATTAGTAGAGTTGATCATTTACGGGCTTCGGTTGAACCCGGGCCGGATTTAACATTTTTTTTCCAACAGGCCTAATATGGTAAAATCAAACCCAAAACTTACTCATAACCACCCTACAAATAGGCTGGGCTTGCCCACGGGCTAACGGACTTAAAAATCTTGTTATATTTTAATAAAAATAAAACTTATATAAAATCAGAAGTTATGTAACATTAAAAAAAATTCAACTTAAAATTTGACGTAAACACATAACGATATACGTACTTTAGAAAGAAATTGTTTCGCTTAAAATGAAATATTGATAAATAAAATGACTAAATAAGATAATAAAAAATTTGTCAATTGAGGTAATAATATTTAAAAATTTTAAAGAATTTTATTATCATGAGTCATAATTTAAGTAGAAATTTATAAGTATTAATAACTTTCAATTTTATTTGTAAATTTTAATTATAAAAGTTAATGATTATAAAAATATTAACGGGTCTAGTGGGCCTGTCCAAATATTTTTTTTTTCCATTGCCTACGTCCGCCGATTAATTTTAACAAGTCGATCCAAACCCACCTATTTCTTCGAGAATGGTAATCCAAGCCCGCTTTTCTGGTGGACCGGATATGAAGGATCTAACGGGTCATCTTGCCCGTGAACAACTCTAATAATTAGACCCCAAAAAAGTTCAGGATCCCCGAGACTCTGTTCGGAATACCACGTAGGTACACCCTCCATTACGCCCTAACAGTATATTATGAGTTGAGCTACAATAGCCTACCCCACCTACACATAGTAACATACGGACCTGGATATTAAAGAAGTAGTAACATTTGGTAAACCCATGAGGGAAATGGTTTTGGAGCACAATTTGGGTGTGAGAAATAGTTATTTGAGTCAATTTCCCTTTTGAAAATGATATAACAAATGCCATGCCATACTCTTTACGTATATCAATGCCACGTCACTAATAACCGGTAACAAAGTCCTTTTTTTAGTTATAAACTTATGTAATAAACCCTTTAATGTATGTTTCGAAAGTAGGATCCCTAAAATTAAAATAAGGACAAAGTAGTCATCTTTTTATGCAATTTGCCTTATTATTTTCTAAAGTGTAATAACAAAAATTATAACATAAGTATTTTATTTTTTAAAAATAATTATACTACTTATGATAGTTCTTAACTAGTGTACTTAAATTTTTTAATTAACTTAATCCAAGCAAGTGATTTTCAACTTCCATGACTATAGTATTTGACTTAACCAATTTATAGTCGGTCTTGGGTGGAGAGTGGAACAAATGTTGTTTTATAAGGGGTCGGATATCTCATCGATCATATGTGTTTTGAAACCATGATCTTAGGTGTTGACAAAACGAACAATATTTGGTACGGTTAATCTGAGATGTTACAGATGATTTCAGACCCGAGAACCGGATTTTGTGCCAGCTAGGACGTGGGCTCCCAACGGGGGATGGATTGTAAGATCTCACATCAGTTGGGGAGTATGCCTTATAAGGGATTGGAATCCTCCTCTTTCAGATGCAGATAATATCTGGTACAATTAGTCTGAGATGTTATATGAAGTTCATCCTTGTGGTGCTACTTTTACTTGACCGTTTCCTTGCTTGTTGTCGTCGTCTTTGCCCAACTTGACTCCTTTATTATCTAACCGCCATGTACCAACACGATCTCTATCTTGACATAATTATCATATAAAGCTCAAGCAAATTCGTAAGAGTTTCGATCCCAAACACAGATCACTGGATGAATATATGGCAATAAAAGCGAAATGCAAACAAACTACTACTCTTAATTGGAAGCGAAATGATGATTTAAACTACTAAGATTGATGTAAATAGCCAACTTAACAATAACAAATTGAATAACTCAAATTAAAATGAAAATGTGAAAGAAATTATTTGAACCGGAATAAACCGGTTGGTTATAATTTGGTTGGGTTTAAATATGATTTCGTCTTGAACCCAAGTCTCAAACTACGACGTTTGGGTTGGACTACTAATATTGAGTAGTTTGAATAAACCATATTGGGCTGCTTGGGTACCATAATTGGGCTCCACATTTGCATAAATATAACTTTGGGTAAACTTAATTAATACTTAAATTGAATATATCATAACAATAAAACAAGTGTTTTTTCTTATTTATATATGTATACTGTATTATAAAGCATTTGACAAACTTTTAAAAACTATTTTTTATGCAT